CTTAGTTGACAAAGCAGCATCTGGTTTTGAGAGGATTAACTGCAATTTTGAAAGAAGTTCTGCGGACAAAATGCTATCAAACAGCATCACATGCTACAGAGAAATCTTTTGTGAGAGGGAGAGTTGAGTCAGCAAACTTCATTGTTGTCTAGCTTTAAGACATTGCCACCCCAGCCTTCACAGCTTCCACTCTAATCAGTCAGCGGCTGTCAACATCGACGCAAGACCCTCCGCCAGCAAAAAGATTATAACTCCCTAAGGCCCCGATGATTGTTAGAATCTTTTGGCAATAAAGTATTTTTAAATTAAGGTATGTACATTTTTTTTTTTACATTTAGTGCTGTCGCACCCTTAGTAGACTATAGGATAGTGTAAATATAACTTATGTGCACTGGGAAAGCAAAATTCATGTGACTCACTTTATTGCCATGTTTGTTTTATTTTGGTGGTCTGGAACCAAATCTGCAATATTTCTGAAGTTTGCCTGTATTTGGATTAACATATCATGAAATCTCTTTCTTTTGATAGGAATGGGGAGAGGTTTCTAGTTTTTATATAATTTATTTAAATGATTGACAAATTTTATTAGTTTGTTATGCTGTCATAGCACAGCTTAATTTTATGACATTATTTTCCTTTTTCTTTGGAACTCTTACTGTTGTTTGACTTTATTGGCCAGTTTTTCTTTACTTCTTTCTATTAATGAGCATTTCCTTACATCTTACTGTATGCTACATACAGTGCTAATTATGTGGAAGATACAGAGATTATCCCAATAGAGTCTCTGCCCTGAAGAGTTTGCAACTCATTAGAGAAGCTGCTGTGTGCACAAGTTTAAGGGCGAAGCACATTTCTTTCTGCTAATACTCTTCTAAGCAAATCGGCAGAGTTGCATGGTTTTTAGTGTTCGAAAGAGACTTAGACACTATTCCCTAACTTTGGGAACACGTCTGGGCAGAGAGGAGAGGCTGCAGGACTATCGAGGTCTGGGTGGGAACGAAGGAGAATAGTTATGGAATTGACTATGGTGAGGAAATTCACTTTAGTAGCAGGCTAGGAACAATACAAGACATTGATGGGGTTGGCTTATGTGAAGGTGACTAGCCTGAGTTCTGGGTGAATGAAAGTGAACATAGGAGAGAAAAAGTTTGAAAAGTGGGAGGTTGAAAGCTCAGGTTCCAATGTTGTACCGTAAATGTAGGGAAGGGAGGTAAGATGAGTTTATATTGTTTATCCTCAGTATACTATTTATATTGTTTACGTTAAAGTGGTATATGTTAGAGAAGGAGCAAAGTTCCATCCAGGCTCTAAACTTAGCCTGGCGGTAAAATGTTTTCTGTAATTCCCCATCTAGCTACTGATTTACAAAGTTGACTGGATGTGTGACTTTTTTCCAGGTTGCATTAGAATACTGATGCAGGAAATACACAGGCAGATCTTGAAAGGAACTAGAGTAGATTCAGAAGAAATTGTAGATTGGGCAAATAATATTTGATTATAAATGAGATTGTATATTCGGAAGCTCTTAGTAAACTCCAAAGGGCTAATTCAGTGTATTTGGTAGTACCACTCTTTATATGTATGAGTATGTGTACTTCCTGATAGTCACTGAAGATCTTCTAGATCCTCTTCTAGCTCAGGTCCTGCTCATATCTTGTGCCAATTCTGCCTCTGCAGTGAGAAGATTCAAGGTCAAATTGCAATAATTGAATATACTTAAGTCTTGCTGTTTAGATATTATGAAATCATTAGGAGTCATTAAGGTAATCAGTAATTCATAAATTCTTCATGCATGTTATATCAAAACATGTCTTCATGTTTGTGGTTTTAGTAATATATGCTGTTGACAAAATGAAATAAATGAACTTTAAACCAATTTTATATTTAATCATATAACTTAAAATGTAATATTTAAAACATTACGAAAAGCACAGGAAATAGAAAAATCCAGGAATATACCACCCACATTAAATATATGTTAATATTTTGCCTTAATTGTGTCAGTCTTTTCTCTTTTTGTTTTTGAAGCAGTAGCCTAGCATATGTAGCTAAAGCACTCATGCTTTTTTTTTCTCTCTCTAGAGATAACCACTGTTCTGAATTCAGTTTGTGTCAGTGCTAGATATTTTAAAAAATACTTCTGTTACAGGTTTATCTTTCCATAAACAATATATTTTATGTTTTTAATGTTTTGCTGACTAAAAAAAATATAAAATTACTATAGTTCTTCACATGAATTCTCCATGTGGAAAAATCCAGTAATTTTATGATTTTTTATTTTACTAAGCATGACATTAAAAACATATAAAATATATTTTCGACATAACTTTCTGACCTAATAACATAAATTGAAGTGGCTTTTAAACTTTTTCGACTGTAATCTATAGAATGATGTGTATTTTTCATTTTGACCTAGTGCGTATCATTTACATATGAGTATATTTATGTGATATTAAAAACATATAAAATATATTTTCGACATAACTTTCTGACCTAATAACATAAATTGAAGTGGCTTTTAAACTTTTTCGACTGGAATCTATAGAATGATGTGTATTTTTCATTTTGACCTAGTGCGTATCATTTACATATGAGTATATTTATGTGATATGTGTATATATAATACTGAAAATAGTTTCTCCAAACCATAGTCTTCTGTATTCTGTATGATATGTAGTCATCCCTCAATATCCATGGGGGATTGGTTCCAGGACACAACCCCCAACCCCCATGGATACCAAAATCTGTGTATGTTCAAGTCCCTGATACCAAATAGTATAGTATTTGCATCTGAGTTTCCTACCATATACTCTAAATCATGTCTAGATTACTTATAATACTTAATACAATGTAAATGCTATGTGAATAGTTATTATACTGTATTGTTTAGTGAATAATGACAAGAAAAAAGTCTGTGCATGTTTAGTACAGCTTCAGTTTTTTTTGAATATTTTTGATCTGCGTTTGGTTGACTCCATAGATATAGAACCCCTGGATATAAAAGGCCAACTGTACTCTTATTTTTCTAGCCTATTCATTTTTAAAATGTTTGTCTCAGACTTATTAAATTGATTTTTTAACCTAATAATAGATTGCCACCCATAATTTGAAAAACATTAATCTAAGATTAATCTCAAAAATTGATCTAATCATAATTAAGCTAAACTTAATGTTGATTTTAATATATAAACATAAGCTTTTCTAATATAATAAAAATGCTGCAAATAGTAAGGCAATGTGTTAAAATAACATTTTTTACATAAGATTTGATTATATTAATTTTAGCTACTTCATTCTGAATATATGTTTTCTATAAATTAAATCCATTTAAAAATTAGATATTAATTAATTGAAGTGTGTAGAGAGGACGTGTTGATCAGTATAGAATATCTTCTTTCAGTCCATTGTGACTGTGGTTTACTTGGAGGCAAGGAGGGCTGTTATAGTGTCAGGGAAGGAAAGACCCCTTGCTGGCTCAGGCATTGACCTCCACCCCCTAGCTCTGTCACCAGTGAGCTATATATAGCCTTAATAAGTTCTTTTTTCCTTCTGGTCTTCCATTTCCTCACCTATTAAATGAGGGTGTTACCTAGCTCATCTTGAAAGTACTTTCATCCTGTGAAATATAAGATAACTAGGACCTGGGCCTCAAGCTGTTAAGATTTGTTGAGAACATAGCTGATGAAAAAGAACAAGATTTTCTATTGGAAATACTGGTTTTGCAGTTGCATTTGAGAAAGGGTTAAACAGGTCATACTCAGTTCACTGTGGTTTTGGGACAGGAATTATTCATCCATCATAAAATCTTTTCAGAATAATCTTGGCATTCACAAGATCTCCCTACCTTTTTGTTGCCTTATCTCTCAGTGAGGGACAGGACTATGAATGGGTATGTGAATATACGTAAGTGCCAAGAATGGCAAAGCAATGTTCTTCATTTTGTTTCAGTTAAATGTTCTCATAAGCATATCCAAAGCTATAGAAAGAAATCTATACTTTCATAAGCCCCAGGGGACATTTCATGAGTTCCACACATTGCAGTATTCTAAGGCTTTTGAGAATTTTCCTTTTTAATGTAAATTATGTTTGGAATAGAGTGAAAACATGTCACCTAAACTACATGTCCTTATAACAGCACTTTTTATAATGAGTCCTTCATATTTTGTTTGGTTGTATATGTCTTTTAAAAAGCAGCAGTTTACATTGCAGTTTAGGGTAAAGTGGACCTTGGAGACCATCTTTTCCCATTTTGCTTCTAAGAAAACAGGGCAGCAGATGTTCTTGCCTGCATCTCCAGATAGAGGCAAAGTTAAGGGCAGATGCCTGGTTTCCTCCAGGTTTCCCATTTTCTTTAGGTTTGTAGATTATTTGGGACTAGCCCTAGGTTTAGAGAGACCTAGAGACCCACTTCTAACTCATATCCCCTGGCGTAGGCCCATTAAAGAATGTGATTATTCTTAGATAGAGATCCGCTCCCACCTGAGGGACTAGTGAAGGCATGTTTTTCCTTAAGGAAGGCAAGATAGGCATAAATTGCTGGGAGAGAATATTCTCAACCACAGATGGCTGAGGCATAGGTTAGATTTCTTTTAACTCCTTTGAACATGTAAGAACTCAGCTGTCTCTCAACAGCAACATGCAAAGCACTGTTCACTCTTCTGTTATTTCGGAGTACTTTCCCTCCCCTTATAGAGTACATTGGAATTTCTGGACTTCTGGTTTTTGATTTTGTGGTAAATATTTTCACCTTAGTCCAGGGGCCAGATCTAACAATTATTCTGTGATTCTCTGTGCTTGGCACTGAGCAGGCATTTATGTGGATTTTTTGTGAACGAAGACTTCATACTTAACTAGTCACTATTTTATGCATTGCAAGTTATAAAATTGATCATCCTGAAATAGTAGGATTGATTTGTGAAGTAAACAAAATCCTTTTCTTTGTATGTTAAAATACTGCTAATGAATCTTTCTGTCTGCTCTTTCTCCCTTATCCTCTGCAGTATGCCGAGATTTTGCTGTCCTGGAGGACCACACCTTGGCTCACAGCCTGCAGGAACAGGAGAGTGAGTAATGACTCTCATTTGTACTTCTTCAGTTTTGTTTTTTTAGTGGTAGCTTGAGGCTGGTTTCTTAGGGTGAGAAAGGAGAGAACACAGTCACCTGGTTACACTGTCCATTCATCCTGAGGGATTTGTCTAGGCAAATGATGCCTGAGTGAAGAATGAAGTTTTGGATGTTTTGAAGTAAGACAGGCTGCTAGGGATTATAAGACTGCTGGGTATATAGGAGGAAAAGAAGGGCTTGAACTTTTCCCTTGCCTTACTGTTATAGGAGGGAGACAGTGGTTGTAGATGGATCTGGGGCACATGGAAGACTGGCATAGGAATCTATTTCTGCCGCCTAGAATAGGGACCTCAACATCTCCTCCAGGCAACTCTGGTATCTAAATTAGATCACATTTTGTATTTTTCTGAATATTTATGCATTGTACTGATGGAAAATAAATCTAAGCTGTATGTGTTATCTAAAAGTACTTTTTTGTAAGTACATGATTTGTGAATCATTAATTCATATGTCAGTATAAAAATTAAGTTTTGAAAAATACAGTGAATAAATAAAGTAGCAACATATGTGGTATTATAAAGAGCACTGGCCCTGGCTTTAGAGTGTTTGTGTTCAGGTCATGGTGCTGCTACTTTTTTGCCATGTGACCAAAGGCAAATTGCTTAATTTCTTTGGATCTCTTTCTACTTAATGGAAGAATGGGGTAATAATTCCTTTGCTGCCTAATACATAGTGTTGTTGAGAGCATAAAACAAAATGATGGATGTGAAGCTCTTTTTAATGATAAAGCTCTTCTTAATTTTATTATGAAATTTATTACTAACAAGCCACAACACTGGAATTCCTCTCCTCAATTTTTCTGTCCCAGTTGAGCATCATTTGGCGTCAAACGTTCAGCGGAATCGTTTGGTCCAGCATGATCTCCGGGTGGCTAAGCAGCTCCAAGAGGAAGATCTGAAAGCCCAGGCTCAGCTTCAGAAGCGCTACAAAGACCTGTGAGGATTTGGGGAGTTGGGGGCAGTAATGTCAGGACTGGTTTTCTCTGTGGAGCCAGCAACCAGGGCAGGAGGGAAGGAGACTCCTCTTATCCCTCTGATTCCTTTTACTGTTAGATTACAAATCCTACAGTGGCTATCCAGTAGTTTTCTTTGATTTGAAAAATTTTCTTTGTTGTTGGAACACTAGGTTTTGGGACATATGGATTATGGTGTGAACTCCAACACTTTTAGCTATATGGCTTTGAGCCAACTGGTCAGCCTCTCTGATTGTATTTTTCCTTACCCATACATAACATGGGAGAAATAATCTCTGTCCCTTCTGCTTCATAGTTTGTTTGGGGGATCCAGTGAAATAATGGACATCTAAAAACTTTATGAGTTGTATTGGGGTCCTTCATTATTTCCTAGCTGTGTTTGTTGCTCTTTCTTTCCTTGAATCCCTTTTCTATAGACGGCAGAATGTTCTAGAAAGCTCTGAATTGTACACTCCGTTCTCTTCATAATTCAGTGTCTGACAAAAGTTCTCTCTCAATATCCTCCTTTAATAAATAAATGAAAACCATCATTTCTAAGGTTCCTTTCAGCACAATGGCTTTTTGCTCCTTTTCAGTATGTTGAAGCTCCAAGGGTGTGTGTCTTCTTTGAGAGTGGCTCTTAACCTAAATCTCTAATGGTAGACCTAACCATAAGATATTGTGTCCAGGAGGAAGGGGTAAAGGGAGAAATGGAGGGATCCCTTACTTTACTTTAGTATCATGTTTAAATAAAACAGGAAGGCCAGCTATTTTTGCTGCCTTTGAGTAAGAGTTTGTTTTTCTGTTTACTATTAATATTTATAGAGAGGAGAGGACTTTATTCATCATTTCATTAAGCATCCTTATTTTGAAAATAAACACCTTTATTGACTGATGCTAAACCTGGAACATAAAAGTCACTGGAGACCAGAGATATGAGTAAGACATAGCCATTGCCTTTAAGGGTCTCAGGAAAACATCCTGAGCATACTGTGTATCTGGAGATACAAGCATGTGTCCCAGAGAATCAAATTGTAAATTTCATGCCTATGAAGAGAGAAGAGACTGGGAAAAGCTTCACAAGATAGGTGATATGTTTAATACAAAACTTGAAGGTTTATTAGGAATTTGTAGTGACAATGGGGAAAACCATTCTAGTCAGGAGGAGTAGCATGGATGAGGGCATCAGGTGAAAGGACATGCATCCTCATGTTAGCTGCAAGAAGTTCAGTGTTGCTGGAGTGGAGAATGTGAGTAGGAGCATAAGTAGGAGACGAGGCCAGAAAAGTAGTCAAAAGCTGGACCAAAGGCCGGGCGCGGTGGCTCATGCCTGTAATCCTAGCACTCTGGGAGGCCGAAGCGGGTGGATTGTTTGAGCTCAGGAGTTCGAAACCAGCCTGAGCAAGAGCAAGACCCCGTCTCTACTAAAAATAGAAAGAAATTAATCGGACAACTAAAAATATATAGAAAAAATTAGCCGGGCATGGTGGCGCATGCCTGTAGTCCCAGTCACTTGAGAGGCTGAGGCAGTAGGATCTCTTTGAGCCCAGGAAGTTTGAGGTTGCTGTGAGCAAGGCTGACTCCACGGCACTCTAGCCCGGGCAAAAGAGTGAGACTCTGTCTCAAAAAAAAAAAAAAAAAAAAAGCTGGACCAAAAGGGTCAATAAGTTATGTTAAGGAATTTAGGTTTCATAGATTTTATATTATGAGGAATAGAGAACCATTGAAAAAGTTTTAGGTTTTTATTTTGGGACCCACTCTGGGGACTGGGAGGGTAAAGACTTGGAGGGGGCAAGATTGAAGGCAGCTATTGAGCACTGGTCAAATTAAGAGATGATGAGTTTTGAATTGAGAACAGTGGTGATAGAGAGATAGAGAGGAGGGAGATGATGAGGCCAAAAGTTGAAGGTAATAGAGAGATATAAAGAGGAAGAGACAGATTTGAGTTGTTTTGAGGCTTGTTGTCACAGAAATTAAGGTGAGAACTAAAGCTAGAATGTTCTAGAATTCTAAATTAGCACCCTTTACATTATTCACAAATCTCTGTTAGGAAGACCAGTTCAGAGGTTAATATAGAAGTTTTAGATCCTGAATTAGGGTAATAACAGTGTGTGTAATGAGGTTATTTAGAGATTATGAGTACAAACCATTGTAAAATGTAAATCAGGAGTTGGAGAGCGATATTTTATAGGTTCTAAATGAGAAGAACCAAGTATTATTTCTGCCTGGAAATCAAAGATTTTGGAAGTGTTCCTGGCTGAAATAAATAAGTTAGGAAGGAAGCCTTTCAGTTTTTACTCCCCAGCAATCTTGAAAGCTGGACATCCTGGGAAGAATGAAATGCTACGGTGTTTAATGAACTGGAACCTTAATCTGGGTACTGGGGCTGCTGTCCAAAGTCAGGCCTACCAGTCATTTACTACTCCTTTTCTCAGTTTTGCTTTCTCAGGATTCTGTATAATTAGCTGACTGAGCCAGAACTGATCCTTCTTGGAAATACGGTTTGAAATCATTAAACTCAGCTGAAACCTGACTTCTTTATTTTCTGTACCAGGAAATGTGTCTTCTGTGTCATTTGTGACCTTTAACACTTCATTTGGGTTTTCCTTCTCTGCTGTGCTTCTGCTTTCTTCCCATTTATCACCTTGCATGTAGTTAGTAGTCACTTCTGTATACATTTTATGGTAATTTGGGAGATCAAGATAGAGAAGTCCTTGAAAAGGGATTTTTAATTATTGTAAGTGAATAAAAAGAAGGACTATAAATAGAAATTGCTCTGAGTAGATTTTTATTTTAATTTTTTCAGTTTGAATGAATAAGAATCCTAGAATACAAGACTTATAATATGAAGTTATTAAGTCTAAACTTTTTTATAGCTGATAAAATGGCAGGAGAGGGCATGATGAAGTTATCAGTGAGAGAGGCAGGGCCAGAAATCAAGTCTGCAGACTTTTGTCCAGTGATTTTCCTACTGATTCTAAAAAAAGTCTTGCTATTTCTGGCTTGTGCTCTTTGTCTTGTATTCTCTTGTTCTCTTTTTTCCTCGTATGTGGAGAGTGTTAAAACACTGACATTAGCCAGAGAGACTTCTACTGGAGAACCAAAGCTGGGAAATATACACTGATTTTTTTTCCCCCTTTTTAAGTATCATTTTTTAATGTTCCTTGTTGAAACTGAGAAAAAAAATACAGGTAATTAAAACATTTATAAAAATCCTTTTAAACTCTTACCAGCCACCTCCAGGTGACCATAGTATAATTGACATTTTAGTGAGTGCACTCCTAAACTTTTTGTGTGCACTTTGTATTTATTTGGATATTTGTGTACGTTACTCTCACAGTCTATATTGCCTTAGCAGAATCTCGAGAAAACATGTCTTTCTTGTATGGAGCTTTCCACTGTAGTATGTGGAGATCAGATTTTAGTTCTGCCACATATTTTCTTTGTGATCTTGGGGAAATGATTTAACCTCTCTGGCCCTCAGTTTTCTCATCTGTAAAATGTAACAATATCAATCTCTTTGCATCTTTATCTTGAGGATTAAGTGAGGTAAAAATATGAACTTTTCATGGTGAGTATTCAATAAATTATGTTTATTTTTAGGAAAAATGATTCCTTATTTTCTTTATTCATGTTGTTTTCACCTTTGCTTTTCAGTGAACAACAAGACTGTGAAATTGCTCAGGAAATTCAGGAGAAGCTGGCTATTGAGGCAGAGAGACGACGCATTCAGGAGAAGAAGGATGAGGTACAACTTAGTTCATGTCCCTCTACCCCATGGAGAAAGGGATGCTTAGTTCTGGAGGAAATACTTTTTGTATTCATGGAATCAATGAGGGGCTGCTTAATGGGCAGCAGAACTCTCCTTATTTGAGGTACAGTAGTTTCAAGCATTTTCGTCCGTGTTTTTTCCCTCTTGATCGCTTGTATAAGTAGTAAAGTCTTGAGAGACGATAACTGATAATTTGATGCAAGACATGAATTAGTTTTCCTAGAACTGCTGTAACAAATTACCACAAACTTGACTTAACACAACAGTAATTTATTCTTTCATAATTCTGGAGGCTAGAAGTCTAAAATCAAGGTGTTGGCAGGGTCATGGTACCTCTTGGGAAGGATCCTTCCTTGCCTCTTCCTAGCTCCTGGTGACTCCTGGCAGTCTTTGGCATTCCATGGATTGTAGCTGCATGAGTTCAGTCTCTGTCTCCATTGCCACATGACATGGCCTTCTTCCCTGTGTGTATTTTTGTATTCCCTGGTCTTCTTATAAGGACACCAGTCATTGAATTGAGGACCTGCCCTAATTCGGTGGGACCTCAGTTTAACTAATATATCTGAAAGACCTTATTTCCAAATAAGGTCACATTCTGAGATTTGAGTAGAAATGAATTTTTGGGAGGTACTGTGCAGCTCACTACAAGGCGTCAGTCTCTGGCTTGTTATTGCAGTGTTAGAGAGAGTGGACCTTGACTGGAGCCTTAACAGTCCCTGCGAGAGGCCAGGAGTTGGCATTGCTCTCACTCTCTCTTTTTCTTAATGGTTTCCTTTCCTATGGTCTGTTGTGTCAAAAAACTAATCTGTTTGATTCTACATATATTTTTAGACTGTATTGCTTTTAAAGCTGAAAATGACTAACATGAGCAATAGTGTTTGGTTTATGAAAAGACTAGAATTTACAGTTAACTATTATTTCCTTTTATGTTAGATTTTCAGCACTTCTTATAAAATTCATTTCAGTTTGCCTCAATTCTATGTCTGTCTTCTTTCACACCTATTATGCTGTTCTTGGCCACTGACTTGATTTATAAAAGAGAAGAAAATGACTTATCATTTTTAATAGTAGGGTGACCGCATGATTTGTTATGTACCCATTGTTATGTACCCATTTGTTACGTACTTTTGAGAGTTAAAGGGGATGATGTTAATTACATAAACTGGGACCGTACTGGGTAAACTGGCACTTATGATCACCCTATTAAATAAATATGATCACGGACTAGCATACATAATCTGCTACTCTGACTGAGCCACCCTTGTTCCTACAAGACTTCTTGTTCAATGCCAGATGAGTGAGAGACAGCTGGTTTAAGTGTATTTACTTTTGTCTTCGAGAAACAAACCATGATTACGTGATAACCAGAACTGCAAGTAAGAATTAGGGTTTAGTTTTGACCCTTTCTATTATCAACACAGGAGGCTTTTTCTTACTACATAATATGTTGCCTCTTCTGTAGTAAAGACTTAGCTTTGGGGATGAAACTAGGAACTGAAAGCTTCTATTTTAAAAATAACTGAGTAATGAAGTTGGCCTCGTATAAATGCTGCTGTTATCCTGTTGTCCTTTTTCCCCATTTAAGGAAAAACAGGATAGAAAGAGACACCCAAACACTTTATTTTAGGCATGTAGAATCTAAATAGTAATCACAATAAGTAATCTCATGGTAATACTATATAAAGTAAGCAATGTAGTGATTAATTCCATTTTTCAGGTGTTGAAATTAAACATTAAAGAAGTTAGTGATTGGTCCCAAGTTAAAATAAGCTACTGGAGAAGTGTCTGCACAATTTCTGACTGACTGCTTCTGCCTTATATATATATACTGTGGCACTACATAAAACACGTGGGCTTTGGAATTAGACTGACCTGGGTTTGAATTTTAGCTCTTTAACTTTTCATTGTGTGACTTTCAGCATTTCACTTAATGATGCAGAACCTCAGGTTCCAAAATGGGCAAGTCATCATAGTTGTACATAGCCTGAAGGGCTGTTGTGGGGCTTAAATGAGATCATATATATAAAGCATCTTCTATGTGTTAATAATTGCTCTTTCCTTTTTGCTTTCTTGCCTGGTCTTTTTCCCACAATTCTGCCCCTTTTAAGAACCCTCATTTCTTTCGTAGAGAGATAATGTGCTAGATAAGAAAGGAGAAAATTACCCAAGTTTAAATGTGTTCCAATATGGTGTGATTTGAGAGGTCTTCAAGTGTTTACTTGCCTTTATAGGCCTCCCATGAGCTTGGCCTCCACTACTGTTTGACCTACTGAAATGTTCCTACTTCCCCAATAGAGTGGAAAAGTTAAATAAGAAATCCAGTTGTGGAAGTTTAATGACTAGACTAGCATAGCCTTTGAAAACTTCATTCAGACTTTTTGACTTTTCAACTCATGCTTAAGATGAGAAGATATCGAAGACACTCTTTTATTGTAGAAGAACGTAACTTTCAGCTGACTAGTATGTTGTTAATATTAAGTGAACAAAATGTGCATGAGTAAAGTTTGTCATTGAAGGATGTATGAAAATGCTTGTTTATTTTAGTCCATTGGAAACAGGATGCCTAAAAGACAGAGGAGACTAAGACTGAGACTATAGTGCTAATTCTTCTAACCAGCCTTTGAAAAGCATTGCCTGTTTGTTACTTATAAACTGTTCAAGTTCTTCCCCCCCTCCCCCGCTCCTCTCTGCCTTTCACTTCCCTGTAGAGTCTGCTCAGTTAGTAAGTTCTTATTCAACAGGAGGCTATGGAAAATTCCTCTCTGGATTTTTACCCAGATGTCTTTTAGAGATTTTTGGGGTTAACTTTCTTGGGTTGTTTATAACCCCAAAAAATAACCGATCGTAGAGCCCAAGGCCCCTTTCCTCTTGGGACAAAGGTCTTTTATTCTGAAAAACATTGTGCTTCTGCATGAGAAATAGTGGAATTTTACAACTTTGTGTGGGTGAATTAGCATTTCTAGCTTTGTTATGATATAATTTTATTGTGTTTGTTAACAGAACACAGATGTAAGAAAAGTAGCATTTCCATATAGGGAGACAGATGTGGAAAAGTTAAAAAGAAAGAAAAAGTTTTTTTGTCATCTTATTTACTATCTCTCTCTTTTTTTTATATATTTATTTATTTTTTTTAATTTCAGGATATTATGGGGGTAAAAACATTTTGGATACAAGTAATGACTTTGCCTTGCCCAAGCCGGGGCTAGAGGCGTGCCCTTCCCCCATACAGTGCACACTGCATCCATTAGTTGTGAGTTTACCCTCCCCCACCCCCCACCTGACCAATACCCAATGAATATTACTACCATGTGAACACCTTAGTGTTGATCAGTTAGTACCAATTTGATGGCGAATATATACAGTGCTTTTTTTGCCATTCTTGTGATACCTCGCTTCGAAGGAAGGGCTCAGCACTATCCAGGGTAATATAAGAGGTGCTAGATCACCATCGTTTTTTGTAATTGAGTAGTATTCCATAGTATACCTATACCACGTTTTATTAATCCACTCACGATTGAAGGATACTTGGATTGTTTCCACATCCTTGCGATAGTGAATTGTAAACATTCGAGTGCAGATGTCTTTATTATAGAATGTTTGTTTTTCCTTTGGGTTATTTACCGTCTATCCCACTCTCCTGTCTTTGTTTCTTTTTATTTATTTGTTTTATTAGTATTATTGTTTTTTAGAGATAGGGTCTCACTCTGTTGCCCAGGCTGGAGTGCAATGGCATGATCACAGCTCACCATAACCTCAAACGCCTGGACTTAAGCCATCCTCCTACCTCAGCCTCCCTAGTAGCTAGAACTACAGGCACGTGCCACCACTGCCTGGCTAATTTTTTTTTTTTTTATTTTTTGTAGAGACTGGGTCTCACTATATTGCCAGGCTGGCCTCGAACTCCTGGCCTCAAGAGCTCTTCCTGCCCCAAGTGCTGGGATTACAGGTGTGAGCCACTGTGCCTGGCTCTTTTTATTTTTTAAACTCTTTTACTTAATGTCTTGAATGTAGTAGTTGAATTCTCTCTACACTTCCTATTGAAGGTGCTTGTAGCCTTTAGGTATACTGGACTGTATGAATTTGTGACTAATAACAGTGGGTTCTTAATTCCATTAAAATCTTTCTTTTCAGACACAGAATAAGCATTTGTTAGTGTTATTTAGTAAGAGCCAAGGAGTATGTTTAGGTGATTTAACTTAGTTATTCTTAAATAAAATTCTAAGTTTGTGTGTGTGTGCGACTGTGTATAGATGTGAGTGTGTGTGTGTGTGTGTGTACCGAGGTTTAAATACATGTGAATGTGCAACTATTTTAGGGAAAAACTTTTTTTTTTTCTTAAGTAAACATTAACATGGCCAAACATGTCATGAAAAGTTTGTGGTACTAGTCCAACAATTTGAAGCTATTTATTATATGAACTGTTCAGGGATAAACTTAGTAACCAGTTTACATTAAAAAATAAATCTAGTGTGAACCATGGTATTTATTCATAGCCCCCATAATGTGATTAGAATTTCATATTCTAAAAGAATATTTATATATTCTTTGATAATATTTAGAGACCAACTCAAATAGCCATACATGTTAGCTATTAAAAATTTTCCTCTGTTTAGGCACTTTAAAAATAACGTTTATACGTACATAGGCCAGGCACGGTGGCTCACGCTGGTAATCCTAGCACTCTGGGAGGCTGAGGCAGGAGCATCACTTGAGGCCAGGAGTTCGATACCAGCTTAAGCAAGAATGAGACTCTATCTCTACAAAAAATAGAAAAATTGGCCAGGTATGGTGATGTTCCCCTGTGGTGCCAGCTACTCAGGAGGCTGAGGCAGGAGGATCACTTGAGCCCAGGAGTTCAAGGGTACAATGA